TTTTTCGTAAATTACAAAAACTTAAATTTTTTGATTATTTTCTTGGAAAAAACTGGATGGTAAATTGCACTCTAATGACTAGGGATATCTTACTGGTAGTGGTTAGGAATAGAATTTTTATATAGTTTTTGTAGTTCTTCATCTGGTGGTTCTAACACACTTCTGAAAAACCAATAAATAAATATCGCGACTATGAGTGACATATTATTTTTCTAGAAGCTTTATAGAAAATTGTTAGGAAAGTAGTCAGAAAAATATTTTCATATATGGTTCAATGCATTTTCATCTTCAGTTTTTCCAATGATGAAAATCGTAGCTCTCTAGCTCCATCTGTTTAAAAGTTATTCAAAAACATTTCCAACCGCCTTTTTCTCTGAAATGAGCTTTAGTCCTAGTCCCCGTAGTTTTAGTTTTTTCAGGCACATACCATCTCTCTTACGTCACGTTCTGATTAAGATGATTGACGTAAAACCATAGAATATTCATTCATAATTTTTTTTTTCTTTTAATCTTATTCCTGACAAACTTCTAATCAAGAGTCTAACTATAAGACAGAGAGAGGGCGCGAAAGAATTGTGATTATATGCTGTGTATTCGTATTCAATGAATTTAATTTTCAATATAATTACAAACTACATTGTATTATCAAATAGTATAATCAGGTAATGATGTATATTGAAAAATGAACATAAAATAAGATGATGACTAATTAGGAAATTGTGTAGTTATCAGTGTAAAAATTTCTTATAGAGCATGATATATTAAAGAATATAATAACTGAAAACAAGAAAATAAAATTTACTGATTGAAAAATTCTCAATGAACTTATATCCAGTTTTTTAACATCTAACTGATTTTTTTCGACATGACATTACTATATTTAACTGACTTCAAAAAAAACAAAAAGATGAGATGTGTTTTAAAATCATAAGATGAATGGAGTGAATTATATAAGAATCCTGTAGAGTCGCAGTTGGATACATTATCATCTCGTCATGTTACATCTTTTCATATTATCTATGTAGAACATAAAATGTATCTTGCAAAAAAAAAAATTATTACACCATTTTTGACATATTATTAACAATACTTCATTGATGATAATTATGATCTCATACTGTTTTTTTTTCCTATATTCAATAGATTGAAATATATTACCTATAATTAGCATCTTCTCTTTTTTTTTTTGTTGCAGTATTTTAATGAAATGAAATTTAGACAACATACTGTTTTTATATGATTCGTGTTGTGACGGAAGTTGTAACAATATCAATATGTGGTATGCTTTTAGTTCTAATGAATCTCATGTAATAAGATTGGTTTATGAAAATAGCTGAATTCTATAATCATCGACTGTCATAACTTAACAGTTATGAATTATGCCCATTAACCTTTGTTATTATATTTTAGAAAGCTTTAGTCTGATTGATGATCGTTGTCAAAAAAAAGGAATAGTACACTTATTATAAGATCATGTAATAAATCTTTATCAAAAAAAAAAGAAAAGAGAGACGGAAGGAAACAATTTTTGTTTTCTTTTCTATTTTCGAATATGCTTTATGTCAATCAAAAATCGAAAGTATTATTCTATTGTCTTTTTGATTTTAATTTTATTTCATTATATAATATAAATTTATTAATAATTAAATTCATGAAAAAACAAAAAAAAAATTACGTACTTAAATTTGAGCAATATCATTATTAATTATAATTTTTTTCTTAGTTGTATATCACATAAGTATTTCTTGATATTAATTTATACTAAAAATAATTGAAGTATCTAAATAAAACAAAAAAAAAAAAACTTAATTTCTCTATAAGATAAATTGTCTTAATATTTATATTCAAAAGATAAATAAATGCAAAATAATGAACGAAAAAATTTTATTTCAATAGTTATATCATAGATATTACACATGATTATACATTGTATATTTTTCATAATTTTATTCTTTGCATGAACTATTCTAGAATTATGCATGAGAAATTTTTGATATAAAGAAGAGAAGAAAAAAAAATAACAACAAAATGTTATAATAGATGTCTTTTATATGATTCCTACGGCAGACTTTTTATTTCTAGAAGAATTTTAATTCTCTGACAACGAATATGAAAGAAAATGACTAGATAAAAAAAAAATACAAAATTACTTTTTTTTTCCTGTTTTTCTGGCTTCGTCGTGTTCTTCTTCTTCTTCTTCTTTTTCTTTAGCTCTTCATCCGCCGCTTCTGATATAATTCATCTAACAACTATGCTACTTGACGCGTCTTTGCTTACGTATATATATATATATATATGCAGGGAACACAAACACAATCTCATAGAATGTCGATTCTACACATAAAATAAGATAAAAATAGTACAAAGTTATTATCGTTAAAGCAAAAAAAGAAAAACGAAAGAGAAAAAGAAAATATTAAAAATACAGAAAAATAAATCCAATGTAAAATGAAAGGATTGAATTAAGCATCTAATTCAACATGAATATGAAAAAAGGAAAGAAAAGAAAAAGAATATTATTATAAAAACCATTGCTTCTCTTTTCTAGAATATTCAAAACTAAAATAAGCGTAAGACTCAAAGCAAGTAATCAAATTCAAGTAATAATAATATACTAATTTTGTTTTCTTTTTGGTTAATCTCATAATAAAACTAATACTGATCTTTTACTTTTGTCTTGAATAATAACATCATTTTTTATGTATACTTACATATATTGAAGAGATATATCAAAAATGATAAAACTGGAATTATTTTAATTATTCGTGTCTTTAGTTGATAAGAAGCATGTAAATATTATACACAAGCCTTGAATGTATAATCTCAGTCTGTTATATTTGAAGAAATAGAAGCGTGAGAAAAAAAAAAAAATTCTTTTTATATTTCATAAAATTGTGTTGTTGAGTTGTTTCATATATATATATATATATACTCAAATCTGTTTTATATACGGTTGAAAGTTTTGTATTTCTTACTAAATAAATTTCAATCAACATTTTTCTTTTTTTCAATAGATTCATATTCGTTCTATTTCCATCCTTGATGATATTAAGCGTTTTTCTTTTTTTTTTTTCTTATGTGACATATTTTCTTAGTAAATATTGAGAAGATTCTTTTACAATGAAATGTATATTATGTAAAGAATTATTTGTTCTCATCAGATCACCTGCAATATATCACCATCAAAACAACTTTACTTATAAATACAAAAACATAAGTTTATTTCTATGACATAAGATGTTAATTCTTAATGTGTTTATGATTTGTTGATAGTCTTTTTTTTATGTATATATCGATTTTATATAGTAAAGTATAATAGAAAATACAAAATTTTGATAAATAAAATTTTTATTATTATAATTAAATGAATATTTTTTTTTTTTGAAGGTCTATTAAACAATCCAGGGTACATATGAGATATTCTTTTGCCTCTGATTTCTTCAATATGACATATAATAAAAACCACACAATTATTCATAAGACGAACAATGGATACATTCAAAAAGAAAGCAACGATTATTTTATTTGTTTTTTTCGTCATGTTTTACAATGAAAACAAAATGATAAGAATGTCATTTTGTTTTGTTTTTTTTCGATAGTTATTCGTATTTTCAACGTTTGCACTTCATTGTATAACTTTTTATGTGTTACTGAAGGACATTTGATCAAAAACCACAGATATACACATTATTCGTTTGGTAAGGATGAGAAAATTTGGAAGAGAAACAAAATTTTCACCCTTGATTGGTCATGTTTACCTGTCGTATATAGTCAAAATCATATTCTGATGAGTAATTTCTTCAATTCAGCCGACATATATAAATACAGACATCGATATATAACTACTATTCATTGATCGTTATTAAATATTTATTTTATAATAATCTATAAATAAAGGGTATGGATCCACGTCGATCAGGCCATTTCAATAGAGTTGCAAGATCTATGAATAATTATGTAGCAGCATCTGCACATAATTATTATTGGGGACATGATGCTGTTTCAGGAGGACCTTATCATCCTTCGGCACATTTTAATGGAAATTATGGTTATCCATCTCAGCATGGATCATTTTCAAATGGATTGCAAGCTCTTATTGCTAATATTGGTCATTATTTACGTCAATGGATAGGTTAAAATCTATGATTAATTTTCTTTACTATGAAATAATTTTGGATTCAGATATTGTGTTTTTATTAATCTTCTTTTTTTTTGAATCAAATGTTCAATTATACATAGTGAAGAAAAGTAATTTTGAATTATTCATATGAATAATTTCTATTTATGTTATATTAATAATGAGAAGAAGAATCAATTGTTATCAATGACAATTCTATATAATCAAGAAAAAAAAAAAATTGTTCTAATTTCATTTCGTCTTCTTCTCATGTAATATGGCTCTTTTTTTTTTCTTTTTTAATATTTTAAATGTAGGTTTAGTGATTTTTGATTAAATATGAAATAAATAATAAAAAAATTATCAATAATCAAATTCGATTATGTTCAATAATAATAAATCATTTGCAAGTTGTCTTCTTTTTTTTGTGCGTTTTTCTTTTCTCTAAGTGTATACAATTGCGAAATATTTTTAATGAATTTTTATTTCAATGCGTATCCTATTTAGGAAACGAAATATGAATTACTTTTTCTTCTTTACTATTATCATACTTTATCATCTAATAGAATACTGTATATATTCATTTGCTTTATATAGAATAATTTTCTGGTCTAATGATTTCATAATATTTTTTTTATAAACATGACATAACATCTAACTAGAAACTTATTTTTATTTATTCTAAAAGTAAATTTTTGATCAAATCAATAATATATAATAATGATAGAATAACAAAACACAAAAATAATTCAAGGTTGATAAATTATTGTTATGGTTTGTTCTATTTTAATACTTTTTTTTGAAAAATTTTCTCAAAAAATTTATATTATCAATTGATAATAATAAATTTCGTTTTTTTTTTTTT